CTTGAGAAAAAGATGGAAATATATGCCTCTGTATCACAAATCTTACAATAGAGTTCTTACAAAGAATGGAAAAGAGTAACAGAAAATCAAGAATTTTAAGAAATAGAGTTCAGGGCAATGAAGAGATAGCATAGAGAATGTAGATGAAAACATAGCATTGAGGATGTATAGATGAAAAATAACCACCTCTATCATGAGTCTCCTGATGATAACCAGCATTGCTTTATTTTTTTTAAAGACTTTATTTATTTATTCATGAGAGACACACAGAGAGAGAGAGAGAGGCAGAGACAAGGCAGAGAGAGAAGCAGGCTCCATGGAGGGAGCCTGACATGAGACTCGATCCCAGAACTCCAGGATCACACGCAGAGCCGAAAGCAGACCCTGAACTGCTGAGCTACCCAGGCATCCCTACAGCATTGCTTTAAAGTGAAAACTATGTGTCACTCATATGTGTTTTCTGTAACTGAATAATCATCACAAACACTCTGTGTGATAGGAACTTTTATTGTCATCACCTCTATGGGAGAGAAAATGTGAAGGTCTTGCCCAACATCATATAAAAGTAAGTTGTGAAGATGGGATATGAATCTTGACATTACAGATCCAAAATCCATATAGGCCTTCTCTTCTTACATCTCCCTACTCTTAAGCTACTTGTGCAATGAGTGAGGGGCTCTCTCAAAGGCCTCTCAGAACAACATACTCTAAACATCCCGAATCTAGCTGAGACCATGGATTGGAGAATGGGGGAGGGAATTCTGCACCAGTGGTGAGAGTCAGAAGGCTCTTCTGATGAATGATGTGTATCTCTTCTGGGCATCAGGATCCAGTTGGGAGGTATGGATTTAATCTGCTACTATAGTCAAGTGAAAAAAGTATTAATGATTTGCTATGAGGACAGTATAGAGGATTATAGTTCTAAACTGACATGATCAAGTAGGTAGATATTATCTAAGGCGAATATGTATCCAAAATGGAAAGAAAGCATAGCCCTTCCCTACAGTCTTTTCACTATGTACTAACCATTTACACTTGTATGGAACAAGTACAATGTTAGAAGAGGTCAAGGATGCATCTCTAGAGATTTTGAAGGCAAACAAGGAAATAAACTCCTTAAATTCTGGAATGAATTTGTAATGTTATAAGAACTGATTTCTGTATAATGTTTTATACAGATTTTATTTATTTATTCATGAGAGACACAGAGAGAGACGGGCAGAGACACAGGCAGAAGGAGAAGCAGGCTCCATGAAGGGAGCCCGATGTCGATCCTGGGACTCTGGGGTCACGCTCAGGGCCAAAGGCAGGCGCTATACCACTGAGCCACCCAGGCATCCCTCTGTTTAATGGTTTATAAAAATAGATTCATGACTAGCAAAAAAAGCACATCTTCATGAATATGACTGTTTTTTGTGCTTGGTAGCAAATCATTAAAACAATAAAGTAGACTTATTCATTATTTATTCCCAGGGTTAAGTACAATGCATGATATAAAGTACATATTCTAGTCTGTATGGCTTAGAAACTCATGGAAATAGAGAGTAAAATGGTGGTAGCCAGGGACTAGTGGGGAAAGATAGGAAGATGTTGGTCAAAGGGTACAGATATCCACTTAGAATATGAATAAATTCTGGGCATCTAATGTATACTATAGTAACTATAGTTAACAATATTATATATTTCAAAGTCGCTAAGAGAGTAGATCTTAAATGTCCTCACCACACACACATACAAAAATGGTAATTATATAAGGTGATAGAGGTATTAACTAACCTTATTGTGGTAATCATTTAGCAATATATATATATGTATCAAATCATCATGATAAATATATATATATATATATATACTCTAACTTTATTCAAATTAAAATGTTATATACTCTAAATTTATTTAAATTAAAATGTTAATTATATTTCAATAAATCTAGAAAAAATAAAGTAGGAAAAATATAAATCTGGTTTAAATAATTAACAGAGTAAGAGATGAAAAAATAATGTAATATACAGTTTAAAGCCAGGAATTCTTGGAGAGCAGCTTTAAAACAAAACAAACCACAAAGAAAATTCATCTTTTTAGAAGAGTAGAGGTGAGTCATATTTCCTTCATATTAAATAGAGAAAATATTTGATTAATATATATGTTATAATCCATACTAGGTTATGAAATCCATCGGCTAAATTGAATATATCTTATAAGACTACTGAAGCTGTGGAGAGAGTTGGGGAAGAAAGAAATGCATGAAAGATATGTAACAGAAAGAGAAGTAAAGAAATCTATATAGAAGAGGATTTGGTAGACTGAATATTATTGCTGGCAGGCCTGCTGTAAATTCCTGCATGAGTTTGTCAGAAATGCAGAATCCCAGGCACCAATTTAGACCTACTGAATCAGGAACCTCACTTCAGCAAGATTCCAGAGTGATTTATATGCCCATTTACTTTTGATAAGCACTGAGCTAAAGACATCAAGCCTTTCCTCAAAGGATCCTGTAAGAATCCTATAGCCATTGCTTAACTCCCAACTGAGGAAGCAAAAGTACAACCCTGTTTATTTATCTTACTAAGTCACATTAATCCAGAGAGGAGAATGACAAAATGTCTAAATCTAATTTACCCTGGGTTATTGGCTTTTAATGGCTAAGTGGAAAAATCAAATAAATTTGAGGGACTTGAAAAAATTTCTCTGTAATCAGTATCCCACATGGCTGTAGTTGTGTCAGACTACAGAGTTTTTCAGACTCCAAAGATTGAGTTGTGGATTTTGATCAATTTCTGGGTTAGGGCTGTGTAGTTAATGCATCTGGTGAAGCAATCTGAAAGGCCTTTCTTTATTAGGAAAAGTTACCTGCATAAAAAGCTAGAGAGAGGTTTCAAGGTGTTATTTGCAATGGGCAAAGAACAAGGATTGTGGCCTGTTGCTTTTTGCCTGAAGACAGAAGTTGCTAGGAGGGAAATTTCCCAGCTATAAGTGAATGCCTCCATAATATCCTTCAAGTCATTTAGTTTTCAAAATTTGTGACAGATCTTATTTCTTTTTATTATGCTTATGAATCACATCACTGTTAATGAAGATTATTTTGAATATTGAAAGGACAGTCTTATGTTTCTTGAAGAACAGCTAAAATTTATTTTTCATTCCACTTAGAAATAAAGTGATTGACTTTTAATTTATCCTTTGTTAAAGTGTCAAATATATAAACTAAATAGATTTCCTTTTTCCCCAAGGCTTGCTTAAGTCAAGGTCAAAAAAAAAAAAAAAAAGTAAGGAAAAAGCTATATTCATCTCCTCCTTTTGATCTGGTGAAAGTCCCAAAATGGAATTAATATTGATTTATACTAAGAAAGGACAGATGTTTTAGGTGGGTATATATGTTTATAATAAGCCTGTTATTGATGGGTGGTAAATACAGGCACATCACTAGAACATGGAATTATGATTCAGTCACAAAAAGAAGAAAGCAGAAATGTAATTTGTAAGGCTCCAGGCTATTGCTAAATCAAATTGTTTTCCTCAAGAAAAATTCAGACAACATAAACAATCAGTATGACTACTGGAATCACATATATGACATTGTATGTGGACAATCTAGGCATTGTCCTCATCTATAGCCAACTATGGTAGGCAGAGTACTGGTCCCTTGGGATGTCTGTGTCCTAATCCTTGGAAGCTGTAAAATGTTAAGTTACATGGCAAAGGGTAACTAAGGTTGCAGCTGGAATGAAGATTGCTAATAAATTGACACTAAATAGAGAGATTATCCTACATTACATGGATGGGAATAATAAAATCAGGATGATACTTAAATGGGAGGCAAAAGTGAAAGCCAGAGAGACAGTAGCATGGAGGGGATTAAGCTGACATGCTGGCTTTGAGGATGAAGGAAGAGAGCCATGAACCAAGGAATGTGGGCATCCATAGAAGCTGGAAAAAGGAAGAGAATGGATCCCCTCATCGAGCCTCTAGAAAGGAACACTCTGATAATACTTAGATCTTAGCCCCGTGAAATCTGTGTTGAGCTTGTGATATTCAAAAATAGAAGATTAAAAAGAATGTGTTTAAGCTGCTAAAAGTATGATATTGTCACAGCAACAATATAAAATGAATACACCCTCTTACCATGGCGTCTACTTCCACACTGCAACTACAAAATAATAATAGCTACCATGTAGTATATATTGAGCACATTCACTGTGTGTAGAACCTAAAATTCATCATTTTAGTTCTCACAAATCTCTCCAAAAAATGCCTAATTTTATGAATGAAGAAATTAAGCCTATGTAAATTAAATTGCCACCGAGTAACAGTTGAGCAAAGATTTTAAACATTATATTTCTAACTTCTTTCAAAGTCTGAAAACTTCCCACTACATTCACTCTCTTAATCTTACTTTAGTTGAATTACTCAGACAACTGTGTGAATCATCACTAGATAAGAACTAAAATCAGGAACTATGTAACTATATGTTATTAACTAGAAACAATCCATAAGTTCCATTAATCAATGTTTATTTTTATAGGATACAGTGACAAAAATCTGTGTAGATTGAAATCGAACAAACGTGTAACTGTTCTTTCAAGGCTTACTTAGGCTTTAGATTCACAAATTATTATTCGTGTTGAACCAGAATAATTATTTCAAGTTTTTAACAAATGACCAGAAAGGTCATATTTATGGCCCAAATGCTATTTTACAATGTCACATGTTCTTTTACGAGAAAGAGAAATATTCTTTCCTAGCTGATATAGTATGAATATATCTCCTCGGGAGACAAGTACTACTATGATTACATTAGAATAATAATAATCCACTATTTTCTTTTTTTGTCAACAAGGTATCTCTCATGTATTATTTTATCTGCAATACTCCAGAAGTATTTCCTAGTACTCTTCTGTCTTCTGCCCTGATGCAAAGCTTGCTTTATAATCTGTGATGCTGCTCTGTATTTTCCTTTTACACTTTCTTGTTCCTTTGCTGGGGCTGAGGTAGGGATCCGGCCAAGGGAGAGATACTAGTGCAGTCTTTATTTTTGCTGAAAGCAGTACAGATAGCTACGATTAAAAGTCAGGCACTCATGTTTCCAACAACATCACTGTTTTCCGACAGCTGACTCAAATAGCTCAGCAGGCACTTTCAGTGCCATCTTGCCAGGTATGCGATTTTCACTCGATATGTAATTCAGATCTTGGCCTCTCACTTCCTTAGCTGTCAAAATGCAGGCCGCCGAGCACAGCAGATTGTTCAGATCCTGGAGGGAAAGGACTGCCGCCCATTCTCCAACAGACCATTAAAGCGAGTCCCATCTGGTAGACTCTGTAGCTTTCTATGTTCCTGTATGAAGCAGGATAGGAGGACATTAGAGTGGTGGCAAAACTAACGAGGCTTTAGTGAGGAGAAAAAGCTTTTGATGATAATTCAGAACTAACTAGAAATGTTTACTTCTGCCCCATACATAAATTTTAGAATGAATTGAAATTTAAATTAAAACAAATTCTTATTATTGAACACATGCACTTAAAGAATATGTTTATGGTGACTAAATCTATTCTACTAGTGTTTAGGCCAAAAGAAACATGTATTATACGTTATTTTTTTAAATATCTTTGATTCAAAGTCTCTGTTTTTACTTGACTCTAGAAGATTAAAATTTATTATTCAAATGCAAATGTTTTATAACTGGTATATATTTAGAAATAGAAATAATTTTTTTAAGTCTGGTTTTGAGACTCGGGGAAGGGCTGACATTTTTTAGCATTAATATGGAGTCCAAGAGACTCTTTCTTCCATGTAAAGACAAAAGTGATTATTATGTTTCATGATGTGTCTATACCAATATGAGAATATCCAAATCCTTCTTTTCACATGAACTTAGCTATGTTTGAAAATTATCAAGCATTTTGGAAGATATACAAATTTCAAAACTCCACTGCTCAAATTTAGTTTTGAATATGAACAACCAAAATTTGCAATATTTTCAAGGTTACATAATACACACATATCTTGAATTTATCAATAGTAATTTATAAGAAAGGAGCAGCTAAATCATACTTTAATATTGACTTATCATATTTCAAAAATATATTTTTTCAACTGTCTTTCCATATCAGATTTTGAATTCTCAAGGTAAAGGTCTCAACCTGGTATCTTCCTAATCAAATGGCTTCCTTGTAAGGAGTCAAAGGAAAAAGGAAACTGCAACAACGTCTGTTCTGTTGCTCATGCATAAACACTTCTAGATCTCCAGGGCCCAAATACTTTTGAATCAGATAACAAGCTCCCAGCTGTGTGCTATTTTGTCCACATTCTTCTTGGAAATCACCAGCTCATCACCACTGTCTTCTTGGAAATTCTCCATCATTAAGTCCTCATGGTGTTTATCTTGCTTGTCTTCAACCCAGGAACCATCGTTTTTGCCTACCCTGGTTTGCACTATGGATTTAAAATCTGATCATCTACCTGCTGCCAATCTGGCATCCTCTGGCATGTTGCATTGACATTTGTTTCTCAGAGTTTCATGATGCATAAATCCAACTTTTGATGTCACTACACTGCCCAAGTCCCTAAGGACACTCTACATCCAGAATCTTCATGTCTGGTGAGAAGAAACAATGTACTGAAAACTCATGTTGATGTTTTCATTTGCCTTAATGGCTTTGCGGGTGTGTAAATTGAAAAATAATGCTCCTAATGTACTGCTGCTAGGAAGGTGTTCAATAGGGTAACACAGGAAATATCTCAAGAGAGAGTCTATGTTCAGGTTAGGCCCCAAAGTGTAAGTGACTCTTTTTGCCAAAGACACCAGAGTAAAATACCATCATTCCTAAGGGCAAATGACGGCAGATTGTTGTCAGGATACTTACAGACAGAGAGGGCTCAAATTTGAAAATGAAAAGACTATTTTTGTACTATTGAGGCAGGCAGACAGTAGATGATTTTTTACATGTAAAAGCAAGACATTGTAGGGGCCAAGGGCAGACTGCCCCAAGATGGTCCACTTTCACATGAGCATCATTGTGAGTTAAAAGCAGTCAAAACCCAGAAGATTCAGGAAAGCTCTTTACCTCCCTTTCAACTTTTTGCTTGTATGAGGAAGAGAGCTATTAACAGATTCCTCATTACCTAAGAAACATCTGCATATTAGGGCAACCTATGGTTTTTAAACATCTCCTTTCACCTTTTTCCTAATGGTCTTTCCTTCCTTTGTATCCTCAGACCCCTACATCTTTCCTTAGCTTAGCATCAAGTTGCCTGCATGTCTTTGGAATTTCCATGTCTGTATGGATTCCCTATACATACACTATTAAATTTTATTTTCTCCTGTTGATCTGTCTCATATCAATTTAATTCTTAGTCCAGCTAGAAGGATCCTAAGGGGTGGAGGAAGTTTTTCCTCCCCAACAACATAATAAGTGAGATTTACTTTCTTGAAATGCAGACCAAGAACCAATAATGAAAACTAATCAAGGAATGGAAGGTTTGAGGCAATAAAGAGGAATATATAGTTCCTGGAAGAAGAAAATATTGGATGCAGAATCTTTTATCTATATTGGTTAAAGTTCTCTAATAAAAGATCACCAGGGTGCTGTGTGGATCAATCGGTTAAGCGTCTGACTCTTGATCTTGGCTCAGGTCATGATCTCATGGTCATGAAACTGATCCCAGCATTGGGCTCTACACTCAGCAGGGAATCTGCTTGAGATTCTCTCTCCCCCTCTGCCTCTGCCCCTCCCCCTTCTCTCTCTCTCTCTTGCTCTAAATAAATAAATAAATAAATAAATAAATAAATAAATAAATATATTTTTAAAAAGGTCACCATTGGGCACCTGGGTGGGTCAGTGGTTGAGCGTCTGCCTTTGGCTCACATCATGATCCCAGGGTCCTGGGATTGAGTCCTGTATCAGGCTCCCTGCAGAGAACCTGCTTCTCCCTCTGCCTGTGGCTGTCTCTCTCTCTGTGTCTCTTAGGAATAAATAAATAAAGTATTTAAAAAAGGTCACTATAATTTTATAACCAGCAGAATTCCATATATATCCTTTATGGGTTTTGTATATAATTATGTTCAAATTGTCTGCATAGCAAAATATAGAATTCATGCTCTAAATTGTTGGGTTTGGTCACTTTCAACCGATTCTTTTCTCATCATCAAGTAAATTGTACTTTCTTCTGATACTATATAATAGTATGTGCCTCCAGAGTTCCTTCTAGAGTATCACAGATCTGATTCCAATACTCACTATTGGAGATGGGGGAGGAGAACAAAAATGAACAAACAAACAGAGATAAGTGACAATCCTAAGGGAATGCTGCCTTTAAAAAGCTTAGTTTTCTTTGTGTCTAGAATATACCAAAAAGCGAATAATCCCTTTTCTGCTCCCAAAATAGCATTATCATTACACAATGATAACCATAGAAACCCATGAAGATGAAAACGCTAGGATGGTAGCTTCACATAGATTTTGTAGCATAGTGTTGTTGGTAAGAGCTTGGGCTCTAGGGTGAAGCTGCCTGGGTTGGAATCCTGGCATTGCTTGTTTTTATTTTTGTCATTAGTGAGGATAACCTACATCTAGTTTTGTTGTAGATGCCGTCCATCTGTTTATTTTTACAGGGCTATTAGATTCGAAAATTACCTCTCCACAGCTGCCATCTTCTCAGAATCCCTTTGTTTATTTTTGAAAAAGAGAAATTATCCTTCTTAGATGCATTCTTTCTTATCTAAATAAACATAACATTTTGACTATTTTAAGAAAAATTGTAGGGGTGGTAAAATTTATTAACCAGAAATTTTTAATGATATTTAGATTTTTATGTCATAAACTTGTGCCTGTGTATGTCTATGGGTGTGTACATGCCCTGTCTAGTTGCTTTTGAAAGGTAGGAGTCTGGAGGCATCAACAGACTGGACCACAGGACCTGTGGGACAGCAGCCTTTTGTCTGGGGCTCAGGACAACTTCTTCAGGTGGCAGTAACTGTACACCTTGCTGCAAGCTGCCTTGCTGCTGGACCATGTGGTACTCAGGGTCAGGTTTAGGCACACATACACCATGGCACAGTCTCACCTACATATTGAGGCAAGAGATTATGTCATAATTTTTTGAATTTGTTCTCTTTCATCTTGGAAGGAATTTAAAATATTTGCACAGGAGAGAATTTGTTTATAAAACTATTATTCATATTATTATGTTTACATTTCTTTGCAAATATATTATAATGGCTGTATTATAACAGATATATGGTTAACCCTTATATGAGGATTAGGGGCACTGACCTCACACAGAATTGAAAATCCACATACAACTTTTTTTTTAATTTATTTATTTTCTTGAGATAAAGAGAACATGAATGAGAGGGCAGAAGGGGAGGGAGGAGAATCTCAAGCAGGTTCCATGCTCAGACTGGAGTCTGAAGGAGGGCTTTACCTCAAGACATTGAAATCAGAACCTGAGTGGAAACCAAGAGTCAGCTGCTTAATTGACTGCAGCCCCCAAGCACCCACACATATGACTTTTGACTCCTCTAAATTTAACTACTAATACTTATTGTTGACTGAAAGAATTACCAATAACAGCCAATTAGCACGTATTTTGTGTGTATATATATATATATTAATACTGTATTCTTATATAAAGTAAGCTAGAGAAAAAACATTAGTAAGAAAATCATACAGAAGAGAAAATACACTTACAGAACCAGACTTTATTATTGAAAACCATATATGTATAAGTGGACCAACACAGTTCAAACCTGTGTTGTTCAAGGGTCAATCATATTAAAATCTGTAAACATGTATTATTTGGATAAAAATGCCACTGACATACTCAGTTATCTTTGTAATAAAAACATCAAATAGAAGGCAACAAAAAAAAGTTCCAACAAGGAAATAAGGATTATGAATTTATAATAACAAAGACCCAAGACTGATACTACTGAGTCTTTGTTATACTATTGAAATCTTGTAAAACAGATACACAGTGACATAAATCTCTCATAAATGATCAGGTATTAGCAACAGTATGGAGTTTTAAATTAGTCCTTTCTTAGTTTTGTGTGCCCTTACAGTAGTAACAGAAGTAATTTTGTACTAAATTAAAATAAGCTGGAGGCACTTCTTCACGGATCATAGTCCACTTTAATAATAAGGTCTATTATTGTTAACGGGGGAGAATGATTCTACCACATGACAAACTTGATGCATCCCTTGGTGCTCATTTATAGTGGTTAAATGGGATTTAGTGAATTGTTAACAAACTGGTATCATTTGTATAAATGTATTTTATTGCCACTTTTTAGATAAAAATATTTCTATAAATTGAATTTCTAATATTTAATC